TTTCTGGTAACAGCTGATCAGTCCTGCACAACATCTTGAAGGAGTTTTATACCATTCCTCAGTACAGAACCGCTTCAGCTCTGTGATGTTGGTGGGTTTCCTCCTATGAACTGTTTGCTTCAGGTCCTTCCACAACATTTCAATTGGATTAAGGTCCAGAATTTGACTTGGCTGTTTCAAACCATTAACTTTGTTCTTCTTTAAGAGGTTAACCATTCTTTGGTAGAATGGTCTTGTGTGCTTGGGGTCACTGTCTTACTGCATGACCCACTTTCTCTTGAGACTCAGTTCACGGACAGATGTCCTGATATTTTCCTTTAGAATTTGCTGGTGTAATTCAGAATTCATTGTTACATCAATGATGGCAAACTGTCCTGGCCCAGATGCAGTAAAACAGGCACAAACCATAATACTACCACCACCATGTTTCACAGATGGGATAAGGTTCTTATGCTGGAATGCAGTGTGTTCTTTTCTCCAAACATAGCGATTCTCATTAAAACCAAAATTTTGGTCTCATCCATCCATAAAACATTGCTCCTGTAGTCCTCAGATGGGCAGCAATGTTCTTTTTGGAGAGCAGTGGCTTTCTCCTTGCAACTCTGCCATGCACACCATGGTTGTTCTGTTCAGTGTTCTCCTGATGATGGACTCATGAGCATTAACATTAGCTAATGTGAGAAAGGCCTTTAGTTGCTTAGAAGGTACCCTGGGCTCCTTTGCAACCTTGCGGATTACACATCTTGCTTTTAGAGTGATCTTTTTTTGGTCAACCACTCCTAGGGAGGGTAACAGTGGTCTTGAATCTCCTCCATTTGTACATAATCTGTCTGACTGTGGATTTGTAGAGTCCAAACTCTTTATAGGGATGACTTTGTAACCTTTTCTAGGCTTCAAATTAATAGCTAATCCTAGAGATTCACATGGTTTTGCCACTCACAGATATATTGGATCATTTTCCTGAATAAATAAATGACAAAGAATTATTATTTTTTGTCTCATTTGTTTGATTGGGTTCTCATTGTCTACTTTCAGGATTTGTGTGAAAATCTGATTATGTTTAAGGCTATATTTATGCAGAAATATAGAACATTCTAAAGGGTTCACAAACTTTTAAGCAGCACTGTATATATATATATTTAAACACATATATACATAAATACATACACACACACATACATATATATATATATATATACACACACAACAATTAAACAATAAAATACCATTAAATAAGTGCCTGTGTAATGTGTTTTTAATTAGCCTATTATTATCATCGATGAATTGACTGTGGTTTCAGTTTGAAACGCGCTCAGACCCACTCTTAAAAAAAAAAAAAAAAGATTTGCAAAGGTTTGGAAGCTGTATGGAAATCACTACCACACAACGCCATGTAGACGCGAATTTTTAAGCGTAGATGGCGTGACCGCACTTTTCTGAAGCGCAGATGGCGTGACTGCAGTACCTGGTTAGCCGTCAACAAAGCTAACTTACTACAATCCACATCTATTGTGACTAAAACGGAACGGAAGAAGAATTGCAGACGAACTGACAGCAAAGAGACGGACCTAGAGAGAACAAGCAGTACTCGATATCACAGGAGCTCATTGTTGAGAATAGTTCACAGGGAAGAAAGATAGCTTATTGCTGTTGGCTTGATTTTAAAATAAGAAAGTTTTTGGTCACATGTCATGTCCTGCAAAAAAGAACAATCCAATTTCTTGTGCAAAATATAACCTTAGAAATGAAGTAACCAGCTTTCCACCAGTTTTCACTTCGTACAGTATCCTATCATACTGTATATATATATATACAGGGTGCGATTTGTAGGGGGGGATGGGGGGGATTTCCCCACTTCTGGTCTATTCATCCCTGCATGCCATAGGTGGGGATAAAAAAATATTCCCCGGGTGATGCTACTCCATCAACCACAAACAGAGCATATAAAATACCAAAAATAAAATTATTTCTTAAAACGTCAGCAAGTAAAATACTGCAACATGACAATACAAACAACAACAACATCAGAAGTAGAACTGTCAGCGCTCCCGCTTAATAGAGAGCGTCTGGGTTTCGTGATCCTGGTTCTCGCGCCTCAATCCATGCAGGGCTTCTCAGAAAGTCAGCGCGCGACTACGGTGATCGAGAAGTGCAAAGCAAATCACAATTCTGAAAACCAAATTACAAACGCAAATGCAAGTCTAAAAAACTAAATAACAATTCAGAAAGCACAACAACAATTCAGAAAACATTATAACAAGTCAGAAAACACAATGACAAATTCGAAAACAAAATAGCCACTATTTGCAACAAGTAGTATACTTGATAGTAGAAATCCTGCTATTTTAACATAGTGTAAATAGGTATTTGCACTTAGTGTAAATAGCATATTGCTAAAAATACTGCTTTTTTCACTTAGTGTAAATAGAATCCATTGCTAATACGAGATTTGAAAAGGGAGGAAAAAAAAGTTCGGCAAAAGGCGGGATCGAACCCGGGTCGATCGCGTCAAAATTCCAAAGTCACGCGCTTATCCATCTGCACCACTGGAGCTGATGAATTACAGTCACTTTTAACTATATGTAAATAGATACGCCGTATTTTTTATTCCAGAGTAAGGGCAGTTTATACAATACATTTAAACTGAGCTACTTTAATACCATCTCCGAACTTTCTACCACGACTCTGCTGTTCTTCGGCTGGTTCTTCCCTGTATACGTTGATTGACAGATGTCTCGTCCAGTCAGCGGTGAGTAATCCAAACCAATGGCGCTGTCTCAAACTATACCTGCCTTTTCCGGTTTGTCTGATTTGTCGTTGTTTTCTGACTTGTTAATTTGTTTTTGGATTTGTCCTTGTGTTTTCTGACTTGTTATAATGTTTTCTGAATTGTTGTTGTGCTTTCTGAATTGTTATTTTGTTTTTTAGACTTGCATTTGCGTTTGTAATTTGTTATTTTGTTTTCAGAATTGTGATTTGCTTTGCACTTCACGGCCACCGTACTACTGTGACCTAATGCAGATATAATAAACTGACGCATAAGTGTATTATGAGACAGAACGCAGAAGTTTACCGTCACCATGTGGGAATGATCACGCAATATGACTGATGGATCGGCAGAGAATCGTCTTTCTGCAAGTCATTAAGAAATTATGGTTATCTTCTATTTAAAGAAATATGAGGTAAACGTGTGAATACATAATGCGCACATATGCAAAAGTGATAATTTCAAAACATCCCCCCCTCTGGTTTGTTCACAAATCGCACCCTGTATATATAGTCATGGCCAAAAATATCGGCACCCTTGGTAAATATGATCAAAGAAGGCTGTGAAAATTAATATGCAGTGACTGACTCTGTTAGAAATCTTATAATGGACCATGTTTGGATCTTCCAACCGTACAATAATCCAAACACAAACCTCAAAAACAACACAAAAATGGGTCACTGAGCACAAAACCAAGCTTCTGCTATGGCCATTCCAGTTCCCTGAGCTGAACCCTATAGGAAATGAGCGAGGTGAACTGAAGAGAAGAAGCACCATCATGGAGTTGGGAATCTGAAGGGTCTGGAGTGATTCTAGATGAAGGAGTGGTCTCTGATCTCTTGTCAGGTGTTCTCTAACCTCATCAGGCATTATAGGAGAAAATTTAGAGCTGTTAAACTGGCAAATGGAGGTTTCAAAAAGTATTGAATAAAAGGGTGCCGTTAATTGTGGCCAATGTGTATTAGAGAAAAACATTTATTTCATAATGATATTTCCCCCCATTTTAAATTCTTATTATCCAATGAAAGGTTAGATTTTTGTGAATTTTTTTAATAAAAGATCAAAAGGATTAACAATGCAGATTCATTTTCACAGCCTTCTTTGATCATATTTACCAAGGGTGCCTATAGTTTTGGCCATGACTGTATATATATATATATATATCACAAACGTTTGTTTTCCTTTAGCATGTGACCTTCAGTTGACTTTTATAGTTTTTTTTTTTGTATATAGAGCTAACCTCTATCTTTTCTACCCCCCCCACCCCCCACATACACAGAAGTCACCACAGTAGTGTGAAATAAAGTGCAGCTTTTTTAATCTTAATATATTACAGAGTTCAATGTTCATCTGTATGGTTCTTTATCATGACCAGCAGAGTATCAATAAACCATTAAAAAAATCTGTGCAGAAAATTGCAGAATGTTAAAACCACACAAGCAAAAAGTCCCTGGAACAACACTGTGAAAAAAAAATAGTTGGAAGTTCAGTCTGAACAAAATATATTATGTACAAATATAACAGTTTAAGTGCACACACGGTACAGAGTCACACTCTGTTAAAATCTTTTTGTAATAAATTACATCAGTAGGCATATACTAAACATTCACTGACCTCATTCTAAAAGGAAAACAAAAACATTTACAAACCAGGAAGAGACAGGACAGCATGTCTCTTTACTGAAAATAAACAATTGAAGAGAATACCAAAGAGATTGGAACTGTTCAGATTCTGGATGAAGGAATGGTCTCTGATCTCTTGTCAGGTGTTCTCTAACCTCATCAGGCATTATAGGAGAAAATTTAGAGCTGTTAAACTGGCAAATGGAGGTTTCAAAAAGTATTGAATAAAAGGGTGCCGTTAATTGTGGCCAATGTGTATTAGAGAAAAACATTTATTTCATAATGATATTTCCCCCCATTTTAAATTCTTATTATCCAATGAAAGGTTAGATTTTTGTGAATTTTTTTAATAAAAGATCAAAAGGATTAACAATGCAGATTCATTTTCACAGCCTTCTTTGATCATATTTACCAAGGGTGCCTATAGTTTTGGCCATGACTGTATATATATATATATATATATATATATCACAAACGTTTGTTTTCCTTTAGCATGTGACCTTCAGTTGACTTTTATAGTTTTTTTTTTGTATATAGAGCTAACCTCTATCTTTTCTACCCCCCCCACCCCCCACATACACAGAAGTCACCACAGTAGTGTGAAATAAAGTGCAGCTTTTTTAATCTTAATATATTACAGAGTTCAATGTTCATCTGTATGGTTCTTTATCATGACCAGCAGAGTATCAATAAACCATTAAAAAAATCTGTGCAGAAAATTGCAGAATGTTAAAACCACACAAGCAAAAAGTCCCTGGAACAACACTGTGAAAAAAAAATAGTTGGAAGTTCAGTCTGAACAAAATATATTATGTACAAATATAACAGTTTAAGTGCACACACGGTACAGAGTCACACTCTGTTAAAATCTTTTTGTAATAAATTACATCAGTAGGCATATACTAAACATTCACTGACCTCATTCTAAAAGGAAAACAAAAACATTTACAAACCAGGAAGAGACAGGACAGCATGTCTCTTTACTGAAAATAAACAATTGAAGAGAATACCAAAGAGATTGGAACTGTTCAATGCTAACGTATTGTCCTTACGGTCCATTTAAGGTCGACCTTTGGCTTGTGACATCCGGAAATAATAGATATATTAAAAACAGTACACAGACCTGAGAACAGCAACCTGGCACAACAGCTCAGACGCAACCTACAGCATATCCCTCAATGGATAATGTCACTGCACATTGTCAACAATTTACCAGCCTACTGGCTCATACCAAGGTTAGTTGCTATGTTAAATCACAGAAGAGGTGTTTTGAAAACCCATTTTGTCTTCACTACTGCTGTAGTGATGTAGCAACGCACTATTGTCTAATGGTGAAGTCCCATGTGACATGTTCACATTTCTATATTTCTGTTCACGCTTGTCTTCATTTCACCTGTAGCCTACAGTATGTCTGAGGAAATGCCATTTTTATGAAGTCATATTACATTATTGAAACATTATCAGCTTTATTCTATGAAAACTCACAAAACATCCCTGCAGCTACATTTCTAAAACTGAAAAACTTGATTAACAAAATGTACAAATATTTCTGCATACTTTTATACCTCTATAAACAAACTTAATAAATATATTTTTGTTTTTCCTCTTTAAATAAAACTCCATTTAAAAAGATAAAAGAAAAAAAAGTTTCTTTTACAGCAGTGCAGCGAATTATTCAAGGTAGACGGTCAGGCCTTATGGTAGCCATTTTTGGCTTTTTTTAAGGGTTCAAAGTTCTCATAAATAGTGAGTGCAGCTGTGTTCTGGTAAATCAAATCTACATTGTTGCCAGTCCGAGACTTGATGATGTCCATGGAGCACTGGTTAAGAAACACATATTGATCCTGCAAAAGTAGAGAATGTAAAGGCCTGCACTGTTAGAGAATAAGATGGCAGAAGACATTTAAGGAAGATTTATATATATATATATACAGTTTAGCCTATATATTTAAGCATATATAAAAGAACATTAAATTCAAAAATTGGTAATGAATGTACCTCTGTTTGAACCATGAGTGGTCTGTGCATGCGTAAATCGTGGATGATCCCATATACATCTACTACACCATCCCGCTCAATCTGAAAGATTAAACGATCAATGGCGATGAAGGTTCCCGTCCGGCCCACACCAGCACTGTATTATGAAAACAAAAAGTATGATGAAAATGACATTTTTCTTTGTGGGAGTATAATAACAAAAGTAGACCGTTGAGTAGACCTGTTTGTATATTCGAGAGTTCAGGAACTATTCAAGTACCTGCAGTGCACAAGTGTGGGTGAATGTCTTGAGTACTGGTCCATGTGTTCTCGGACCAGGTGTCTGAAGTTGATGAGAAGCTCAGTGGTCTCAGGAACTCCATGGTCTGGCCACGCAGTGAAATGGAAGTGACGAACTGATCGAGACTCTGCTGTTTTCACCTGTTATGACAGGAATCATTTTTCCCAAAACATTGACACAATACTTTGCATGAGGCATAACGTTATAATTGAGACATATTGCAAATATATTACAGAGAAGATAATTATGACTTTAGAAAATTTGTTACTTGTATAAATTGTTTGATATATTAATGTATTTTTTTATTTAAATGTATGATAATTTCCCAGCCTAAATAATATGTGTATAAATAAAATGCATAAATACAAAAAGTATGGGCACCAATGCAGTAGAAAAAAATAAAACACTGACAAAAATGTGGTGCAGTTATAACAGTTACAGTATGTTTATATTTTTATTCATGATTGTGTGTAATATTTGGTAAAGATAGCACCTGGATCCATCTATAATATTAATACAGACTTACATTTTTCACTTCAAAGTCACGTAAAGTCCAATCTTCCAATGTGATCTCGGAAGTATTCGTCACTGTCAGATTGTGAAAATGTTTTGTTTCTGCTGGCCAGTATTCCTCACATTTTACCTGAGAGGGACAAAACATTGCGGCAGCATTCATTTAAGCTCATTATTAGTTCAATACCCGAGATGAGGTATTACAAATGATCACAAATTGCTGAATGAGGATACGAACATTGAATATGTTGTGGTCAAGTGATTTAGACTTTTAAAGGTGCAGTAGGAGATCTTGGAAAATGCTAACTTTAGCCTGATAGCACTGAAAGCGACCATCCCCCCCCCTCTGCAATCGCCATCCAAAGCCACGCCCCCTGAACGCATTTACGCTCACAGACCAGAATACCAGAGACAACATTACTACAATAGGCTACATCAGCGGTTCCCAATTCCAGCCCATGTTACGAAGTGAGGTAAACTTCAACGGATTTCCCCTGCTCAGGGAGGAGAGAGTAATGAACACTGTGTAGGGATCACATCAATCGGAACACAGTTCATGCAAGTAGCTCACTTCTAACGAGCTGGCACGAGGACTGGATTAACCGCTGGGCTACATCATGTGTCATTCACCGGTGAAAAAACTTTAAAAGTACTACAATACCAGGAAGGAAGATCGGGTTGTTGATGTTTGTCTGCCATTCTCGCTCTGTCTGCACAGCGTGCGTGAACGCGCTGATGACGTATCCTGTCTGCGCGAACCGGGTGCACAGAGGTATGCAAATACATTGGTTGACAGACAGGTAGGAAAGCGTATTAAAATGCTTGGACCGAGCGTTTTGATTGGACGAACATTTCTTGATCCTACGCCTTCCACAGAATATATAAATACAGACAAATACATTTAGACCACTTAACTTAATGATTGCTATCGGGATGTGAAGAGACTTTCAACCAGCATAACAAAAAAAGTTTCTGAAGACAATCACCTATTGCACCTTTAAAGCCTGATGCTGGTACTGATGTAGAGTAATCTAATAATAAAACTAACTAAAACATGAGGAATGAAGGCTCTACCAGGTGAGACCACAGAGGAAGTGAAGCATGAATGTATACTGTACCCGTCCTTGCTCATTGCATTTGGTGAGCATGACAATAGTGTGGACGTTTTTCTCCCAGATCAGTCTCCAGAAGTCATCGACAGTGCAGGGCAGTGGCCCTTGGGCTGCGATAAACTCCTTCTTTGAAGTGTAACCCTGGAAATATCACACAGGAAATATCACACAGTTAAAGAGCTAAATGTCATATTTTTTGTAGTTTTTCCCCTTCCTACAGGCATGTAGCTGGCATTGATGTAGTCATCAAATGGGCTGCTGAGCACAGAGAGCTTGACACGAGATGAATCATCTGTCGAGAAAACACGAACCATTATGAATATGGGCTACATGTCTAGAACAGAGTGGAGGAAAGTCAGTGTTGTGTAACTTCACAAAGGGAAACACTTGTGAGTCCTGTGGTTCTTACATGGCAGCACATTGTTATAACGATTCTTGGCTTTGTTTTCAGGGGCCTGAGCAACAGTCTTCAGCTGATTTATCCCAACTGGCCTTAGATCCTACAAACACACACATACATTTATTTAAACAGTCTTTGTCTATTGATTTTAGTACATTTATATCACAAATATTTAAACATCTGTAATAAAGCATTTGCTTCTCTGTCAATAATTCAAGAAGGGATGCAAGTGTATGTCACATATTTATGAAGGAAGAGGAACACAACATGGTCAAAGCAAACAAATCAGACACTGCTACTACAGTTTTTGTACCAAAAATAATGGTGGCATATTAGTGGTATGGAATTTATTTGCAATACTTGCCATACCAATTTGTTATTTAGAGTTGATCAGTTGGAAATATACAAAGAAGCCAAAGATATAATCACCTCAAATTCTTCAGCAAATCCACAAAAGGAATCAGCTCTTTGCCTCCTATAGTAAGCCTCATAATCCTCCACCTTTATTGGATCACTCCTATGACACCATTAAATAACATATGATTAAAAAACTATACAAGACACCACAATGTATTTAATATTTAGCATAATGCAAATAAAATAATATATAAACATATACTTTACAGAAAAAGGGTAACACTTTACAATAAGTTTTCTTTTGTTAACATGTTAACTACACTAGTTAACCTGAACTAACAATTGACAATAACAAAGTTAATGTTAATCTAAGCATTTACTAATCAAAAGTTGAATCTGTTAACATGAGTTAATGCACTGTGGACTAATATGAACATTAAAAAATGTTAATGTTAAAAAGTTACAAAAAAAGAGAAGTTATGTAGACATAATATTCAGTTGAATCATAAATATGCACCGAAATTACTATGGACAAACATGTATGATTACTTACACTTTGTTTCTGTAAGAAAACAAAACAAAAAATATTAATAGGTTACTTTTTATGACTCAATATTTTTTTCTATCGTTTGTTTCCAATGTGTATTATGCTCTTTTGAGAAGACCAGTGTACTAACCTTATAGAGTGGATAGGAACACTAGTAGAATCATCTTTTCTTTGCTTCCTGGGATATTGACAGCATAAATGTAATTATCTATTTGCCACTGTCGATTAATACTTAAAAACAGAACTGAGGAACATTCTGTAATCTAGAAATACATATCTTTACACACCAAAGTTTATCCAGATTAGTAAGATTGCGGGAACACATGCAATAGTAATCTTAAATCCTCTAAATCTAACATCTCTATCACTAGTTCTAAATCAAACAATATATATATATAAATGCATCATTGATAATAATAAAAAATGTTTCTTGAGCACCAAATTAGCATATCAGAATGATTTCTAAAGGATCATGTGATACTAAAGAATGATGGCCACTAAAAATGTAGCTTTGCTATCACAGGAATAAATTAGATTTTAAAATACATTCAAATAGAAATAGTATTTTTAAAATAGTAATCATATTTCACAATATTAATGTTTTACTGTATTTTTGACCAAGTAAATGTAGCTTTGGTGAGCATAAGAGACTCCTTCATTTAAAATCATTTGAAAAAATCCTACTAACCCCAAACACTTTAATGGTATTGAAAACTACCCAATTATTAAAAGGACTAATGGAGAGGCATTTTGCTGAGTAAAATATTACAAATGCAAATGGATGAATTTAGAGAATTATAAAAGAAGACACATAAAAGTCTAAGGTTTATTTGACATACCAATAGTGCCGGAGTAGACAAGCACACCATAATACAGCACTGGACCGTTCGAGTCATTAAAGATGTCCGACTGAAGATTCAAAGTAAACTTGTTGTATTGTAGCTCAGATACACTCACTGCTGTTATTTTAGGTACAACAGGTTCTACAAACACACACACACACAAGAACAAGAAAAATGTGATATGCACCCACATACAAACACAAAATACAAAACAGAAGTAACTCTCCTTACTTGTGATTCCAGTCATACAGGTGATTGATTCCACAGTGCTTTTCTTCCCACAACCAATTGTCCAGAGCATGACTTTGTACAGAGTGTTAAACCTGAGTCCAGTGAAGGTGTGGTTTAGACTGAAGGTCTTTTCTGAGTTGGAGGAGTTCAGCTTAACTTCAAAGCCCTGGTTATTTCCAGGAGGAGGGCTCCATGAGAGGGTTAGCATTGGAAAGGTTAAATCAGGACCCGTACAGGTCACACTCTCCACTGGAGCTGCATCTGCACACAGTAAAACACACCCAAGACAATATTACTTGACTTTTTTTTAATTAAGGCATTTTAAAAAATGTAGACTAAAGCGTTTCTTGATTATTGTATCAACATTTTTAAAGTGGACATGTCTGCGTGAGCTGGAAAACTACATATTCAGCACAAGAAATAACAACTCAGCACTGAATGCTGCAAATGCTTTTTTCTTACAGTTCTGCTGTAAAACCATATATAACAGTATATAGAGTTTGTACTAACCTGTGCATGCTTGCAGGCACACAGCTTCTCCTTCTGTGTTGTCAGAAGTGCTGCTCTGCACACTGATGTTATAGAGTGTTGAAGGCATCAGATTGTATATGGTCATGCTGTTATTTGTACTGGTCAATTTGTTCTCTACCTTCTCACTGTACACTCTTATTACATATTTCGGGACCCCTTCCACTTTTGCCCAAATTACAGAGATGTTATTTGTTGTTATGGAACCAAGTTGTAGGTTTTGGACAGGATCAGGCTCTGAAAACAGATGCGGGGGGAGAAGGATGAGGACTTTAGAGGAGAGCTCAGTGCTCATATTCATGGTAGGTTCATGAAAATGGCAACTCAGTCCAATCATAAATATGCACCGAAATTACTATGGACAAACATGTATGATTACTTACACTTTGTTTCTGTAAGAAAACAAAACAAAAAATATTAATAGGTTACTTTTTATGACTCAATATTTTTTTCTATCGTTTGTTTCCAATGTGTATTATGCTCTTTTGAGAAGACCAGTGTACTAACCTTATAGAGTGGATAGGAACACTAGTAGAATCATCTTTTCTTTGCTTCCTGGGATATTGACAGCATAAATGTAATTATCTATTTGCCACTGTCGATTAATACTTAAAAACAGAACTGAGGAACATTCTGTAATCTAGAAATACATATCTTTACACACCAAAGTTTATCCAGATTAGTAAGATTGCGGGAACACATGCAATAGTAATCTTAAATCCTCTAAATCTAACATCTCTATCACTAGTTCTAAATCAAACAATTAAAACACTCCAAACATCAAGAATCATGTATGAAATCTGTAAAATGTCTTACCGCCTACAAACCACAACCACAATGATGATTACAACAAGAAGAGCAGCAACACCGACTCCTGCAGCTGCTCCTCCAATTACCACTGAAAGATGGAGAAAGAATAACGTTAGCTCAGAAATTATTTATATAATTTATGTATACACTCTAGAAATGCAGATGGAAAGATTTTTATGACTATCCAAAATATCACTTTGTGCCTTCAAACTGCTGGTGCTTGTCATAAGTCAAGCCCACTCATTAGAAGTGAGTCTAGGGTAAGTAAGGGCATCCAAACGATTTCAGTTCTTGTTACAAGTCAATAAAAAACTAAACTACAATAGAAAAAAATGGTTTTGTTCTTGACAATGCAAGAATAGGCAAAAGACCAAAAAAGTCTGAGAACCCCAGCTATAATCTCATCTAAATGTTTGCTCTGGATGAAAACAGTAGGCTTTACATTTGATGTAAATACATGCCTTTGAAGTATTCTAGGTATTTGAATCACACATCAATAAAATTCACGTGTCGTTACTTTGAAAATGCTGGTGCAATTAAAAGCTTTAAATATTGAGAGAAAGTGTCCCAGTCTTTACCTGGGTTCTCTGGCAGTGTGATGGGACTTTGGTAAAACTCAGACATGGAGTAGTATGAATTAGACACATCCACTAAACTGTTGTTTATCTCCAGACGAGTGAAAGCAATGACAGCAAAACTGCAAGAAAGCCAAACACATAAAAGCATAATGCAGAAGACATAACAACCAACACAGTAGTGCAGACGATGGAGCTGTGCAAGGCAGCATTAGGAACAAATAGCAGTAGTTCAGTTTATTTTAGTGATGGAAATCACCATTACGCTGTTATACAGGGTTTTAATATATGCAGAGCTGAAGTTAATACAAAGTATGGGAAGTATATTGACTTACTTGTAACTGACTTTGGCATTTAGTTCTCCATTTTTGTAACCTTTCCACATAGTTTCATCTCCAATCTGTACACTTGTAGACCCAGTATCTTTGACAACAGCCAGGAATGTGCTGCACAGCTTTGCTTTCCAGTCCTCGTAGGTGTTCAACAGGCATCGATCGAGCTTGTTACTCTTGTCCAAGCAATCTGCAGGAGACAAAACCAAAGATTTCATTATAATCCAATTTTGTTTTATATATAATATACATTTATTTGCAGAAGCTATATTTAACAAAAGCATAGTAATAGTTAGAAAAGTAACAAAGAATATTATTATAAAATGCTTTTTTCTTACAGTTCTGCTGTAAAACCATATATAACAGTATATAGAGTTTGTACTAACCTGTGCATGCTTGCAGGCACACAGCTTCTCCTTCTGTGTTGTCAGAAGTGCTGCTCTGCACACTGATGTTATAGAGTGTTGAAGGCATCAGATTGTATATGGTCATGCTGTTATTTGTACTGGTCAATTTGTTCTCTACCTTCTCACTGTACACTCTTATTACATATTTCGGGACCCCTTCCACTTTTGCCCAAATTACAGAGATGTTATTTGTTGTTATGGAACCAAGTTGTAGGTTTTGGACAGGATCAGGCTCTGAAAACAGATGCGGGGGGAGAAGGATGAGGACTTTAGAGGAGAGCTCAGTGCTCGTATTCATGGTAGGTTCATGAAAATGGCAACTCAGTCCAAAAATTTTAATTGTGCCATTATTTACTCATCCTCATGTTGTTTCAAGCTTGCTTGACTGTCTTTTTTCCGTGAAACACAGGAGATGACGTTTTAAAGAATATCAAGGCTCCTTCTCAATATAATCAAAGTGACTAGGGACTATGAAAGCTCTCAAGCTTTAAAATTACGATAAAAAAAAAAAAAACATAAAAATGGCATAAAACATCCTAAATGTGATAATGGAACAAATAGAAATTGAAGTCATTATTTACTGACATGCAAGTGGTATGGACTACTTTTTGAGCACATTTTGGAGCTTGACAGTTCGAGTCCTCATTCACTCTCATTATATAGAAGAAAAGATGACTATTTTTTTTTATTCATCTTTAGTGTTCCACTGAAGAAAAAAATCATGTGGCAAAGTAAATGATAACTGTTATTTTTTAATCTGTGAATGAACTATTCCTTTTTATTTGCCTTTTGAGGATCAGTGTACTTGCAAAATGCATTCAAAGCCAATGCAATGTGTAAATAAAATATTACATAGGCCTACACTACTGTTCAAAAGTTTGGGGTTGGTAAAATTATGTTCTGTTTTTGAAAGAAATCTCTTATGATTACCAAAGCTGCATTTATTTTGATCAAAAACACAGTCACAACAATAATATTGTGAAATATTAGTTTAATAAATGTATTTATTTATATATTTATTATTTTATAAAATTAATTTAAAATAATAACTGTTGTCTATTTTAATATATTTTAAAATGCAATTTAATTGTATTAATTGTGATCAATGATCAGAAATCATTCTAATATGCTCAAGAAACATTTCTTATTATTTAACTGTTGAAAACAGTTGCTGTGCTACTTAATATTTTTGTGGAAACGGTGACACATTTTATTTTTCAGAATTCTTTGATGAATAAAAAGTTCAAAAGACATTATAAACATCTTTAATCTCACTTTTTATCATTTTAATGTGCCCTTGCTCAATATTGTAGAATTAATGTATATTAAAAAACTTTTAAAAATGTGTATATCTTGGAATATTATTTCAATGTAACTGATCATTTTTTATAATTTTCCATACCACTAAGTGCTGAACTTACTGGTGGTTACATGAACTCTGATAGATTCACTCTGGAAACCCATCGGGCCTACAGTAGCCACAGAAACATTATAGGATGTTCCAGATCGCAAGCCGTCCAAAAGGAAAGTGTTGTTAGGAGTGAGATATTGACTGGTGTTATAGCTCAACCAACAGGTCAGGCTATAGTTGAAGCTGCCAGCTGACATGTTCTCAGCTTCATCCCACTGAAACCACACTGAATGATTGCTCTTCAACAAAATCTTAATCTCTCCCGGTCTGTTTGGATCTGCAACACAGACAATTAGAATCTATAAACACTACGATCCACTATGTATGCTTACTAAGTCTGCCACATGATTTCCTAACTATGGTTTGGAGTTGAATACTCACAAGTTGCCATGTTTACTGAATGAGATGTTTCCCGGAAGGCTGCTTTGACAGTCGTGAGTGTGACTGTGAAGACAGTTGCTGCTTTTAGTTGACTGAAGGTGTGATTGTGTTCAGTGCTATTGAGAACTTTAGAGCTGCTCCATCCTTCACTGCTGATGTTCAGAATGTACATGTCTAGCCCACCAACAGGATGATCCCACGTCACCAAAAGTGAGTGGTTACAGCCTTGATTATCTAGTTGTGGAATCACTGTAGAGGGCTCTTTGGAGAAAAGAGAGAGAGAGAAAAAGGAAGTGTCCTTTCAAGTGTTTGCATTTCCTTGTTGGTGTATGTTCAAGTTCAAATTACGTTTCTCTTACAGGTCTTGGCAATAATTTATATAAAGGCATTAACAACAGGACAAAAAATATATAAACAGGTCAACTTTTGATTACTGTATATTGAATACAATTACAATAAATCCGTCGAATTAGACAAGAGAACAATAAACACAATATACAAGACACATATTGTGTAAGACACATTTATAATACTCCAGTATTGTCTTCCCAAAGGCAGTGGTGCAAAAAGTGTATGAGAGGGGTGGGCATGTGTGGGAGTACATACTTGTGAAGACAGAGACGTTCACTGGTTCTCCCAGAATGCCGCAGGCCAAACTATATAGACTGAACTGACACAGGGTGCCAGGCTGCAAGTCTGGCACTATGATGTTTTCAGAGAAAGTCGACAAGTTCCTACTATTTTCTGTGCAGTTGGACACTAATACTTGGTAGGAAAAGCCATTGTGGTACTCCTGAGGACGGGACCAGCTCAGCTTCACAGAAGAAACATTCAGAACATCGTATTTTACAGAGGAAACTGGAAACGGCTCTGGAAAACAAACATACAAGCAGATGTGATAGCATGATACATGTAGCAAATATGTATTAAGTATTGTGTTGTCATATGCAGTGTGGTTACTTACTACTGCAGGCGGTTATAAACTGGGGATAAGACTTGGTGCCGCCAGCTGTCTGTGTGATAATGCTGATATTGTATTGACTAGCTGACTGCAGTGACAGTAGCTGTGCTCTGGCGTTATTTACAGTCTTCTGGTCAACTGTGCCATTAGGGTGTGTGAAGATGAGCAGGTAGGAGTAACCGGATTGCTGAACATCATGCTGCAGCCAGCTCAGAGTTATACTGGTCTCAGTGTATCCATTCAATCTCACATCAGTTACGGCATTAGGATCTGAAAACCATTCACAAAAAAAAAACACATACGCATCAGCAATGTTCTGTTCAAAAATGGGCCGTACAGCACCAAGGGTCCTATTCACTAACTAACTGCATAAACCACGAATGCAGCATACAATATTAAGTTCCAACATACAAGTTCCTTAAAGGGACATCTCACCCAAATATTCTGTCATCACTTATTTTACCCTCATGTCGTTCCAAACCAATAAGACTATTATTCTTCTTTGGAACTCTACAAAAAATTTTTTAATTATTGTCATATACTGTAATTTTTGTCCATCCATAGCAAGTCCATGCAATTAAAATTTTCAAGCTTCAAAAAGTGAATAAAACCATCATAAAAGTAATCCATATGAATCAAGCGGTTTAATCCAAGACTTCTGAAAGGAAATGATCGCTTTAACAGATTTAATTTAGGCTTTTATTCACATATAAACTTTGATCAACACATACATAGAGTGCATCAAATTTGGTAAATGGAATCTTAACCATATCCCAACACTAAGTTAAATCTGTTCATAATATATATCTGGACAAATATTATGAGAGAATATTAAAAATAGCTTTATTTGAATTTCGAGGATGAACAAAGATCTTTGGAACGGCAGGTGATTAAAAAATGTCTGAATTAAAATGTTCGGGTGAACTATCATCTTCTTCCAAAGAACCATCGATTTTAATTCAATAACAAAAAGCCATATTCATCTGCACACAGACATTACTTTCTATTTCAACAATGCAACATTACAACCGTCTGGATTTGCAACCACCATATGAAATCAGATTACCTGTCTACAGCAAGCCACTTGGATAAAAAAGCTACAAATGTGCATTGCTTACTTGTATATGCAGTGAGATACTGAGGAGAGCTGAAATATCCCATTGCACCTACAGTTCTCACAGTGATGTTGTACTGGACACCTGCATTGAGGCCCGTCAGAGAGCTGTAGTTTTGAGTGCAGTTCAGCATGCTGTTGCTGTATGACAACTGGAAATAGTGTGATACGGAGCTCATGTTAAGTGGTCGAGCCCAGCTGATATTCAGTGAGTTTGTGCTTTGCACTGTCACAAACTCGCCAGGAGGAGTAGGCACTGGAATGACAACAATATAAATCACAGCTGTGACACACACACAGGCATAGAGCAATGCCTACAGACCATCATGTGACATTCGCATACACTCATATGTTATAAAATTCTGAAATCTATTTTCATAAACGTTTGATAAACATTTGCAGCTGTAACACAAACAGCTAATGGTGACTACCTAATACCCAAAACTCAAACTTTTACTTTAAAACATCAAACCATTAGTAACACATATTGTGCAAAGGTATTAGGAAACTTGCACAATTTCTAAAAACTGCACAAACTGTAATACCCTTTCTTGAAAAAGACACACTTAAGTACTTTCAGTGCAATATGCCTGTTTAGAACAGATTAGTCAGCTCTGTGTTTCTAAAAGCAAATGTCTTACTTCCTTTTCTCACTCTTAAATTGCATGCAAATAAATACTGTTTATGGTGACACAACAGTGTGCAGTGTTTTATTTCTGTCTAGTGCTTGTACACAAATAATTCAAAGTGTGTGTTTGTTTTAGGGTGTGTGAGGGGTCTTACAGGTGGCATTGGATACACTATTGCTGTCCTGCTTTATGGGTCCACTGATACTTGTCACAATGACATTGTACTGAGTTCCAGGTAGCAGGTCTGAGAACACCACGGTTGTCTCATTCGTTCGGTTTTCCATCTTTAAAACGGTTCCGTTCAACAAGATTTTGACGTTGTAGAGACTCACAATGCCATCAGGCGGTCTCCACTCCACTCTCATACTCTGAGTAGTGCCAACCGCAGAAATATTCGATGCTTTACCAAGCCCTGATAACACCAAATAAGAGGGTTACTATTCAACATCACAGACCAACAGACAAAACTGCAAGCAACACAGACGGAAAGTTATGATACAAAGTCATTAAGTGGGGTGCAGTATAAAAGAAACAAGTGAATTGCAATACCTGTAAATGCAGAGATGGCTACAGATTCAGAGCTCATGCCATTTTCTACAGTTCGCACAGTAAAGGTGTAGTTGTTCCCAGGGGTCAGATTAACGACATTTATGGTCTCATTGATACTCTGTATCCATTGTTCACCATTTACACTCACATTATACTGATATGAAGATTTGTAGTCACTCTGACGAGACCATGAAAGGCGCATCTCAGTGGTGCCAACAGGAGAGGCTGTTAAATTAGTCACTGGCAGTGGTTCTGAAAGAGAATGCACACAATTATATTCTGCACTGACATATTAATGTGTGTGAATTAGAGTAAGCAAAGACTAAAGACCTTAGTCAAGGTAGAGGCCTATTTGAATTTAAAGTGAATGAAAACAAGGCTTTGAGGGATAAACTTACTGCCTTTACAATGGTGTGAACTGCATAAAGTTCTAGATCACATGCAATTTCCACAACTCACAACCTTCAGAACTATTTTAGGACGTTTTTGTCTATTGAAAGATGTTTTGTCAGTTGAACAATTGGTATGTTGTTAAACAACAGTACAATCTATTGCACTGTACTTCACCCGTTTCATTCCTGTCAAAAATTAAATATGCTGCTACCTTGACAAAGGTCTATTAGGTAAAGATTATATTAATATTAATATTCTGGACGATATAGATAAGCCAGTAATTATTGTAATGTTCTGGCTAAAAGACGATAAATGGCAGATAAAATTGTATACTATTTTGTCTGAACTTGAAAAATGCAATACAAAACAACAAAAACTAAAATCGTTTTAAATGCTACAAGTGAATCTAGGCATCTGAACATTATAATGTGTAGTATGAAATAATAGATATTCATTTTGAGATTTATTATAAACTACATTACACTTATTAAATTATTAGTGATTTTAAAGAATAACTTAAAGTGAGCTTTAGATGAGGGGAAAATATCAAAATGTTAAAATAAGATAAGCATGAACAAAATAAGTGTGTAAAAATAATGATCCAGTGTCACCTGATAAATGTCTATAGCGATACAAATCTGTAATATTGACAAATAACCAATATGGTACCAATATATTGTACATTCCTAGTATTAGGCATAAATTAAAAAAGGTTACCACTTATTGTATAGTCTATATTCAAATTTGTTTAGCTTATACAACACTTGCACACATACAGAGGGATCACAGCACAGTAACATTAAAGCATAATGCAAAATGCCCATTACTTGACTGAAAACCTAATTACACAAAATTTACAAAAAAGTATTAAAACATTTTACTGTATGACAGTACATCTACAGTTTAGAGAGATGTGTAGTATTTACACTCACTGGTATTACACTGTATGATCTGTGAGGGTCCAAATATGTTGGCAGCTATTATGAGTGCTCTGACGCTGCAATTATACTGAGTCCCAGGCTGCAACTGAGTAATCTGATAATTGTTGGATGTGGTACTGAGAGTCTGATCAGGTGAAGTGATGTTGACACTGTAGGAGAACAGGCTGAGGGTCCCATTAGGGGGTAGCCAGGTCAGATTGACTGAATTGGTGCTGACAGCAGAAACAGCCAGATTTTGCACTGCATTAGGAGCTGTGGAAACACAAACATGCTTATGCAACCATACACCTTGTAAAAATAAACTGTAAATCTGACTGTAGACTTAATTTGCAGTTTTTATACTATCAACAGCTTAGGTTAAATGCATGCTGTGCTGTGTGCTTTACAGTACCTGCATATGCAGTGAGGTTTACATATGAGCTCCTGAGATCTTTTACGCCTATGGTGACCACAGTGATGTCGTACTGACTGCTGGGTAATAAATTTGTGAGCGTCGTGTTTAAAGAGTTGGTATGATTCAAAAGTTGGTTGACCCCTGACTGGTTAGATCTATATGACACTTCATAGGACACAGTGACTCCATCCATTGATAAGGGTTTCAACCACAGCAAAGTAATAGATACATTTGTCTGACCACTCACTTGGACAGCTTCAGGCGGGTTAGGCTCTAAAGGGAAATATCACACAGAAATACATGATGGTTCTGCAGATGTAATAAATGGATTAAGGTTGTGTTTGATGTTATGGTGACAAGATGGAAAGTGTGAAGCTTTTCTGACTTACTAGTGGCAACCAGCACAATGTTAGAGCTGTTCTTCAGGACTCCACTGATGGTGGTCACAGTGAGGTTGTAAACACGTCCTGCCATGAGGTTACTGATGACTAAAGAGTTGGTGGGGGTGGTCTGGAAGAGGGATGTGTTCAGCTCGGCACCAGATACGTTCACCATATATGAGTCCACGTGACCAAGAGGGACTGCCCAGCCCAGGGTCAAACTACTGTTACTGGAATTCAGCACAGTGGTATTCTCTACTTGTGCTGGACCTACACACAGGTAATCAGACCTTCATTAATATACATACACGACTGTTCAACAGTTTGGGGTCAATACATTTTGCATGAATTGATCAACAGTAAAGACATTAATATTGTTACAAAATATTCTTTATTTTAAAGAAATGCTTTCTATGCATCACATTTTCCACAAAAAAAAGCAGCACAACTATTTTCAACACTGATAATAAATATCAGTGAAATAAGAAATTTCTTGAGCAGCAAATCAGTATATTAGAATGATTTCTGAAGTATCATGTGACACTGAAGACTTGAGTAATGGCTGCTTTGCATCACATGAATAAATACATTTTAAAATATATTAAAATAGAAAACTCTTATTTTAAATGTTAATAACATTTCACAATATTACTGTTTTATTGTATTTGTGATCAAATAAATGCAGCCTTGGTGAACATAAGAGAATCTTACATTAAAAAAGTCTTACTGACCCCAGACTTTTGAACAGTAATGTAAAAGTAATGTAAACACACACAATATTTCAATTTACTCCACAATACAATAAAGACACCTTTAAACCCCCTATTCTCTTCTGCCTACAGTACTTACTTGTGTTTTGGGATATTTCAGCAGCATGCCCCTCAGTGCGGTTATCAGAGGCCACTGAGGTGACGCTGAAGGAGTATTTAACGCCGGGTGCAAGTTGTGAGATTTGCATGGAGGTTTGGTTAGTAGTGAGAAGCAGGTTTACTCCCCAAGCTACTCTATAATAGGGGCTGATGCCATTTGGAAGTATCCAGCTCAGGTTCACTGAGCTCACAGTGATGGAGTGCACAGACAGGTTACTAACAGGCTCAGGGCCTGTCAGTGCAAGAGAGTGGACATGGACATGTGTGAGTGTGAGAAAGTGGACATGGACACCCAAAAATGAAAATTCTGTCATTATTTACTTACTCCCATGATAAAACAGAGATGTTTAGCAAAACGCTGCATTTTGCCATACAATGAAAGTGGATGGTTACCAAAAGCTGTCAAGCTCCAAAAAGGTTTTGGAGTTTGAAAGTTTTCAAATTTAATTTGTGCATGTACATCTTCCAATATGATTTGTAGCAATCAGTCAGGTCACATGCAAGAACCAATGAATTCAGAATCAGTTATGTCAGAACTGTCTTAATGCACAACATTTGAATATGCATATGCACAAGTGAGATGTGAGAGTTTCAACAGAGGGGAAAATGTCAAAATTTCTAAAGTTTTGGTTGATTCCTCACATAAAGCTATCATACTGTATAATTTTAAAAGACTTAAGTCATATGGTGCTTTTTTGTGTCCTTTCTAGAACTTGGTAGACTTTCCATTCATTTCACTGTATGGAAAAATGCCCCTGAGATTCTGTTAGATATCTAATTTTGTGTTCAACTAAAGAAAGAAAGCCATGCAAGTTTGAAACAAAATGAAGGTGAGTAAATGATGACAGAATTTTCATTTATAAATGAAGGTTTTCTTTAATGCAACTGCCCGTACATGTACACATTCCTGCTTTTAGAAACATTGTGCAATATCACATATCATAAATGTTTTTTAATTATTCATGTTTTACTCATATTAAACAAAACTTCTACTCTATAAAAAGGAAGGTGTTGTTTCAGCTATCTAAACACACCACCTCCAAATATCTTTTCATTTTAAGTTACTGATACATTATAAAGTTGTAATTGATTGTGAAAAAAATGTAATTGATTGTGGCTGGCTAGGACTTACGGAGCGTAAAAGACTGATTGGTCAGTGATAACTGGCCTGTCCAGTTTAGATACACTGAGGATTTGAGCTGCGTGATAGTCAGATTGCTGGAAGAATCTGTTGTGCAAGTAGAGAAATATTGAGAGTGTGAGTGACAAATAATGAGAAAAGTGCATGAAAGAATGATATGGTGAATGTGATTGAGGGTGAAAAAGGCAGAAATATTATTTTCTTTCTTTCTCAGCAACAGTGGCCTTAATGTTTAACGTCACTCGAAGCACTGATTAAGCCTAATCAATCGTTATTAGAAGTGTTAAAGACTTACTGGTGGAGAAGTTTCCGCAGCACACATCTGAGCAGTTGATCTTGAAGAAATATGTGTTTCCAGGCTGCAGTCCAGTCACTGTGATGCTATTCTGAGCGCTTGTAATGCTAGTGTTCTGGACAATGCAGTAGGAGCTGTCTCCTACAAACATAGTGATGTCTGACGTTGTGGGGTTTATCTTGTATTGGCACACTGCACCTAAATAAAGACACAAAACCAGTTTTCAGTAGGTAAATGCCCAACATTATTTGATGATGCAAATCACATTAAGTGGGTTAAGCTTAGTATTGGTAAATATCACTGATACAGACTGTACAAATGAAGACCTCTTTTTCAGGAAAAGTGACTTTAGAAATGTTTATACTTACAGTCAGAGTGCCCACGAGGGATCTGGGGAAGAAAACAACAATGTAACTTCATCAGATGTATTACTTTTTCATTTTGCTTGCTGATTAGCGCCACATGAATCCACAGCAGTAACAGGCTTAAGCAAGTTTTAAACTACAAATAAAGCACTTTTCTGAGTAACTCCATTGTGCAATATCTGTTTCAGGTATAGATCTATTAGGTGCACCACAGTGACATCAGATGAGCTCTATATGAAAAAAGGAAGTATTCACAGTGTAATATGTTACAAAAAAAAAAAAAAACATACTGAAGTTAACTACAGGCCTGATGGTTCTCTTTACATGTATTGAAATCTAACCACAAATCAAAACATCATTCTTCTTTTCAAGTGGATCATTTGGCCATTGGAGAATTTAGAAACACATGCATAAGCTATATTTACACATTACTAGGCAAAACTTTTAACACAACAGACTGTATTTATGTTTCTCAGGACCTAAAAACCTTTTGAACTATACTGATATGCATGAAATTAAAATTCTAAAAAATATAAATTGGGCCAATAAATTACTTTATAAAGCTAAAATATTATTTTTCTAAAAGGACAAATTGTGCTACTTGGAAAAAGCTAAAATATACAATACCTTTGATTAACACTTTTTGGTCACTACATGATTCCCATACATTAATTTCTTATTTGATGATGTTAGTATTATTCTAAAATGTGGAGAATAGTAATAAGGATGTGTAGCTGTATAAAGTATATAAATGTAAGTGCCTGGCATGATCTGCTACTACATTTCTTTATTCTGCTCATTCCCCTTTCCTAGTTCTTCTGAGCAGTATTTTCATTGGCCTATTATGAAACTGACACCCACTGCCTGGCTATGATTGGTTACTTATTGGGGACATATTCATTGTCAGATTTGTAAAGGAAATCTGATCTTTTTTTCTGCTTCAACTTCAACTTCAAGTTTTGCCACAACTTCCGTATTGGTAACAACAATACTTTAAAAAACACATTTTTAACTCTCTGTGGTTAGATTCTAGTAAATAAACAAAAATGTGAAACAGTAAGAATGAATAGAAAGAATACAAACAACACATAAAAACACTTAATCTATATCCACTTCATCCTGGAAGTAAATCATTTTGTGAAATGACTAAATCTAAAAACTTTGGGCAGCTTATTTTGTTTATCATAACTCTTCTGGAGGAGAGGTACTGGTGTTAACAGTGTGTAACTAATACAGCCTCTTTTCACAAATTAATGAATTCATTCATATGTTGGTTGATTTTTCCCCCCCCAAAACCAGCAATGGATAATGGAGAACACATGATAGTTCAGACATGACTTAAAACAAGTGCAATGTGCCTGTTGATGCTGATGCCGCACATACAAATTTCTTATCAATGAGATAAAGACACCTTTATTACATGAAACATTTTATTGTATATTATAGTCATCATGTAACATTAAAAAGCCATTATTACCAGTAAACAACCTGCACATTTTCAAACCCCAGTTTTGATATATAAACTTGAACAACAATTATATTGTTGAACACGATCAATTGAAATGACAACTAAAATGATGCAGACCACAAGAACACAGGTTCTCATTAAAGGGTTAGTTCACCCAAAAATTAAAATTAGCCCATAAATTACTCACCCTCAAGTCATCCTAGGTGTATATGACTTTCTTCTTTCAGACGAATCCAGTCGGAGTTACATAAAAAATTGTCTTTGATCTTTCAAGCTGTTTAATGCCACTCAGCGGGTGTTGCATGCATCAGTCCAAAAGAAGTTAAATAAAAAGTGCCCATCCATAAAAAAAAAGTGTCTCACGCGGCTCCGGGGGGTGAACAAAGGCCTCCTGTAGCGAATCGATGTGTTTTTGTAAGAAAAATATCCATATTCAAAACGTAATAATCACTTTAATGTAGCTTGCGCCAACAGTTGTACACTGTAAGCAGCTCCGGCAGCTCACCCGCTGAGTGGCATTAAACAGCTTGAAAGATCAAAGACAATTTTTTATATAACTCCGACTGGATTCGTCTGAAAGAAGAAAGTCATATACACCTAGGATGACTTGAAGGTGAGTAATTTATGGGCTAATTTAAATTTTTGGGTGAACTAACCCTTTATGTGTGCCAATTGGGACAGACATAAACAGAGTTGTATGGTATCTCTATTTTTGGTGAACTATGCTTTTAATGAAGGCTGACTTCAAACACTGCTTAAACAGTATACAAGCACCTTACCATCTAAGGCTTTTGTCAAATAAGACTTTATTAATTCCTGGTAAGAGACATACAGTATTCTTGATTTCATCAAAAAGCCATCTACAAATAACATACATGGCAGAAAGGAAATTAATTCAGTTGTTTAATAAAGGAAGTTATTGTGTAAACTTAAAATTATAATAGGAATTAGGAGGTGTAAATGATTAACTAGCTGTTGAAACTGTTTTACATGTCTAGTGATGCATGTAAAACACACGCATCACTAGCCAATGGATCTTTTTCACATTTCCGGGTCCGTCAAAGTTGGGCAAACTTATATGGATGTCGAATGGAAACTACAACAAAAATATTTTTTGCACTCCCCTTTTATTTCCAATAGCAAAAGATACAATCTATGATAACATCTTATGTTAACTAGTTTTCTGAATTTCTATATACATAAATAAACTTTTATAGCTTATTGCTGGAAAGTTATTACTAAAACCTTTAATAATAAAAATTATCATTTTAAAGATATATTTATATATATATATATATTAGCACACCAAATAAATATAAGTACAGTATACCTAATTTGTTTACCTAATACCTGCAGCTTATAGCTGTATTAATGAAAAGGACTTAAGCTCTGGAATATGCAATCTGATATGCAATATTCGTACTCGCACACTCAGATATTTTCTATGGACTCTTTTCTTATCTACAGCCCTACAGATCAGCCCGCAGGAAAGAAGCCTTACCCAGAATGCCACTTCACTTCCCCTGACTCTAGCATATAATGTAAAAAGTAGAATTCACATTATACCTGTTAGTTTGACTGACTGACAAAAATCAGATTGGTATGATTTCAGTCAGACTAAAGCATTTACAAGACATTTTAAAACGATAAGTTATTAGTTTGGTCCAATTTTTAAAGTGCATGTGAACAGACTTACGGTACAAACATTTAGATCAAATGAGATCTAAATGTGCTAGCTAATTCACAGTTGCAAATGTATTTTCAAAAATGAGTACAAAGTAAATGCTGCATGGGGAAGTTCTGTACCGAAAGCAGGCTGTGACATTCAGTCTTTGAGGTTCAACATGTTTCAGCCAATTTCCTGGAGTCAAACTGAAGTTGTTCTCTGAGAATGTCCAATATGTGTCAGGCATTACTTTTTAAAAACCGAAAGCCTCAAACTTCTTCATTTTAAAATTTAGACAAGAGCTGTTTCGGCAACACATCCTGCTGTGTTAGATTACTGTTCCCATCTAAAGAGGGTCAGAGAGCTCAAAATACACACTGCACAGAGATCATCATCACATCTGTCTGTAGAAACAAGTGTAAACACTCTAGGGCTGTTATTAGAGTACTCTTTAAAAAGAGGGTAGCATTACTGTAATACAGTACAGTGGTCACATATACTGGGGTATGTACATAGAACACTGAGAGATCAAATCTAACACTAAACAAATCAAACTAATTGTTTATGATGTGTTTGTACTTAAGTTCCACTCCACATTTGCATCACTACAGATTGTATAAGAGCCCTGCTCTTCCTATTGAGCTACAAGGCCTTTCACAGTTTTATAAAGTGCATGCAAATACATAGCGGCAGACACTGTATTTGCATGTTGCTGTTACTTCTCCATTTGGTCAATGTACCGATAAACCTACAATCTTTCCCCAGCTATGATGAAAGACTACCTCACATAACACACCTCTGAGTGGGTGTTTTAAATTTCGGTGTGTGTACGCCTGAGAGAAAGGAGCATGTATGTTTGAACTTTTGTATCAATGTGTTTCCTAAAGACTACCGAGTTATTCTTGACAGAGTTTGAGATATGAAGGGTGAGACACGTTATGTAGACAGGACAGGAAATTAGACATAGACAGACAACCATGTGAATGACAGTCTAAAACTGAACTTAAATGACACCTAAGAGTCTTTACAGAGGAAATACATGCAATATTCGTCTAATGGCCAGTTGTACACAACACTCGTAACATAAAATACTGTCATAATTGATGTAAATTAATTATACATTGCCTTTTATTTTCTTTGTGAAAGTGTAGCATAATTCGACAGAGCAACATTCCGATAATTCAACTTTAATGGCACATTTGCATAAATGTTACATTTTCTGTTTATTTATGACTTGCGCAATTTTATGACGCCTGACATTTCAAGTTTGTGCGCATTTTTAACTAGCCGTGACATACAATAAACCATTGAATGTGAATGAATGGACCAAAATTTACATTGAACACAGAACTGAGTGAGTGTGTGTGTGTGTCTAATCTATTCCACCCTGAGAACAGGCCAGAATCCTTCTACAAGAGGGCATTATATACAACTGGACACAAGCATTTTTGGGAAGGCACAGAGACTAGCTTTATCTCTCAGATGACTGAATTTCCAAACATGGGGAAATGTACTGAACTTCCAAACTTAAGAAATGAAGCACGTTTTTAAGTAAGTTGCACAATTGAGGCCAGAGCTTCTGTTTTATTTACTTTCTTGTTTGAACAGTGAGCACCACTGAGCCTCAAAGCTACTCAAAAATGTAGCTAGTTACGCTATCAAGAAATGTACAGAAACATTACAAGCTAGAAGCTACGAGTAGCTAGCTATATTAGTATAAGAAGCAATACTTCTAATTATATCTAACAGGTATTTAAAATAATAATAATAATAATAATATTAATACAAAATCATCTAAGTCATCAAAGTTCAAAAGTCAATAGCAAAATTATATTGCAGATAAGTGTGTGTGTGTGTGTGTGTGTGTGCTTAAATAAATAATATGAGTGGTGGTTTAAAAAAAATCAGATAATGTGAGGACACCTAATTTTAACCTACAGCCACTATACTGTAAAGACAAAGCATCTCTAAATTATAGGCTACACAAAGATCAACATTAACATAAAACATTGTGCACTTAAAAACTGCATAATAAAACATTACAGTATGTTTAAACTGTTAAAATACTGTTCCAAACTTGTCTAACTGTGTCATTCACATAGCACAGTTAAAATTGTAAAAACATTCTGTGGCGGTGACATACCATATGTGATATTTACCACAGTGCAGAATAATTCATATAAAAACATGGCTATACAGTTACTACCTCAGAAACCACATCATTTAATTTAGTGAGTGAACTGTATGATTCAGGCTGAATTACCAACCTGTTTGACCAGTTCATTGAAAAGAAGCAGATTCATTCACAAATTTAACATTGTTGTGATTCTAAACAGCTGACAGAAAAATACTAGACACACAACTTGACTGTGGAAATATTGTCAGGGTAAATGTAACGCTGTGGGAATTTTCTGAGTAAGATATCTTGTAATTAAAGAGTGAAAAATTTAAGGGGGTCTGAATACTTTCCGTACCCACTGTATATACTGTATATAGCCTATATAAAAACAAAACTTTTTAAGTAGAACAAATTGCTTGTATACTATAAATAATAGCTTTATAATAACTACATACAGTATATATATAAAAAAAACATGACACTCACATCATGAGCAATGTTATGTTCAGCTCAATATTCTGGGTATAAATGTTTGACGCTTTAACAGAAATTTCATAAACTTCACTAAAACACCAAATAATTAACAATAATAGAATATTCCTCCTAAGTATAGTTTTATTTATTCATTTTTAACCCATGTATACAACTACGGATATGTACAATATGCACATCAAGCTATACACCCGTACAGCCAAAATGGCCTAGCACATGACAAAAAAAAAAAAGACTCCTGCTGCGAATATTCTTCTTCAAAATAGCAACACCACCCATAATAACGGTTATCGCTATAGATGGCTGCAGTGATTAGAAATGAGAGAGAGAATGGTGGGGATCTAGACCGCAGCTCTACGTCACAGTTTCCCCTTTTCTCCTCTACTGCCCACAGCGGTTTATTCTTCCTAAATGGGCCGGGCACTGTTTTCATGAGACATTCATGCAAAACACTGTACTTTCCTGGTGGTGTTAATTACTACACATCAAGGATTAACGGCATTTGGCACGCACATTTGCGCAAGAGGAGAGAACAGAGATTTCCTCTATATCAGGCAGTGGAATCATCATTTGGTTTCTCGTGAATCAGTGCAGGCCATTCCTTAAAATCACAGGCCTTATCTAGGTTTGGATAAAACTGTCCATGACGTCTCCACCCAGTACACCAGCAGCTAATAAGGTTATTGCTTATTGGTATAACTTAAACAAAGGCACGGCTTCTTTTTCAGAGGCGACAGGCAAACAAAATTCTTTTGCAACAACAGAAGTGAACTTCATTTGTAAAAGGCGATATCACATGACACTATCACATCTACACAAGGAGAAATGGGGTCAGAATCCTGTATCTGGGTGAGGTTATTGAAAATAAGAGAAACATTTTAATCAATAAAGCATGGTCAGGACAAAACCTATCCCAAAAATTCCTGCTGTCAGCTTGACAGTCTGTCTCACCAACGCAAACTGACTGAGATGAGATGAACCCACGAAATTTGCATAGATAACGGTTGCACTTCTGGTTTAACAGAACACAATGGAAAATCTTCCGCACATACTTAAATTCACCATTAATCATTTAAAACCGCTGGTGCCAGACATCTTAGTCATATTTACAGTCATATTCATTAAACCGATAGCTATATGGAAATATCAGCTTACTAACTATTGTGCACCAGTGTGCAGCTGTGCCTGCGGTCAAGAGTTTTGGGGAAGAGTTTGTAAGTAGGAATAGAAGTTATTGTCAACTTTCTATGAATTACACTTCCCTCAAATAAACTGAAGATAATAGTTTTGTTTGTTGTTGTTGTTATCCCACAAAAACAGCACATACGTCAGATCGTTTCATTATATTTCAAAGTAGAACAAAACGTATATCGAAGTTCCAAAACAACTTTAAACATTAGTTCAAACTTGTAGGAGAACTTCAGAAACTGATGAGGTTCAGTTACACAGGATGCCATTTAGGCAAGCATGGTTAATTTTAACAGAGACACGAAACTAGTAGCTACTTTAAAGTAGCAGTTTTAAAAAAGGAGACGCGGATCTAAACGTCAACACTCAACGCTTAACAAGACGAGAAAACACACACACACACACACACACACACACACAAATAAATAAATAAATAAGAAAAACTTACCGAGACGAGCACAGCAAACAATACAGTCGCACGGAAGACACTGGCCTGAAGTAAATAATGTTGTCCCATAGTGGCAAAAAATAACAAACCAGAAGGTTTATGTCATTTCATAATTTGGTTAATTTCTCAGTGTCTTTGTTCTCTAGAAAAACTGTTTCTATCGTGCAAGATGAAAACGCCGCTGAGGTGCGATGCTGCTCATTCCTGCTTCAGGTGCTCCTGAACTTTTCTCCTCTTGACTCTTTCTCTTCACTGAGTGATGTGGGCAGGACGAAACGAATAGCCCCGCCCCCAAGACATCAACTTTTCAAACAGCACCAGCGGACGTTCACCCTTTATAAAATCCTGTTGCAGGCGTCAGAGCAGGCAAGGGAAGTTAAACCTTCTCAAAAATGCATACAAATGGGACGTAACAACGAAGATGGAGTAGTTAACTTTAATCAATTCACTACGGAAAAGTAGTTGCTTTAATCAATTCACTACTGATGTGAAGAATTCAAATTAATTTAAACCTTTTTATAACCCTTTAGCCCAGTCAAGTTTTAATTTACATTCATGCATTTGGAAGATGCTTTTATCCAAAGCAATTGCAGGTATATCAGTTCAAGGTGACCGTGATTTCACCAAGTACAGCATGTTCCTGGATCAACATCGTTGTTGATCCTGGAACAACATTCCAATGAACCAATCAGAATTGAGAGATAACTTTTCAGGAAATATCTGTTTTAGGCTTATGATCAGGGTTAGGTGCTTCTACACCCTTGTTAATCAGCTATCATTTCACACTGATTTTAGGAATAAATTATGGCTAGGGTTAGGTTAAGGGGTAGGGATTGGGGTTAGTCTATATTTTTGGACAGTTATGTTGATCCAGGATCAACAAAAGATGTTGATCCAGGAACATGTCTTACTTGGCAAAATCACGGCAACCATCAGTTCATGCCCTGAGAACCGAAGCCAAGACTTTAAAATTGCTAGCACCATATTACCGTTTGAGCTACAGTTATTACGTAAATACGAATGTTATACTAGCTGTTAGAGCGCAATATAAACTGTGGTTAAGACAACAGGTCAAGAGAAATTTTAAAACGTAGTCACACAATGATCTTAAAACAAGTGAATGACAAGTTTCCATAGTGAAGGCTTATAGGATGGAAATAGCTGCAAATACTTATGAAAGTAGAATGTGGCTCCCTATTCATGTATAAATGATTATAATGTTAACAGGTCGTTAATTATCAAAAATATTTTAAGATATCAGAGAGCAATTATATGTGTAGCTGAGAATTATTATCAAGTAATAAAACCTTTGTTGTTTCCATCAGCATTAAATTACATATTAACTTCCTCAAAAAAAAAAAAAAAAAATCCTTCATGGACCGCAACTGTGCATGGATGTCTTTTGAAATGTGATACTATCACAATAATCAGTCGGTTTAAAGAATCAACATCATTGGTCAAAAAGTAGGCCTTTGTGTACTCTGTGATATTTAAGTGATAGTGAAGCCTAAGCCAGACACTAGATGCTAATCACAATTCCACAACATTAGACCTACAATATCATAATACTAATTATTTTTTTGTTAGTGGCAATTTTGTGAGCAACTGCTCTGTTGAAGAAATCAAGAGGAGCAGCAGTAGCACCCTCCCACAACAGTGCTACACCTACACAGTGTGTCACACAACACATATTTCAAGGCTTGCTAAAAAATTCAAGTCTTGCTCACTATTAACTCATTATTAACTAGTATCTATTATTATTAACTAGCATTATTAACTAGTAACTAGTATCTCACTATTAACTAGTTCTTTAAATATTCGTTATCAAAACAAAAAAAACACATTACTTCATTATGTGTTTGTAAGGATTGTCTACTGGTTAGCAGTGTTGTAAATTTTAACAGTAGTTTTGGTGCAGAGTTCATTGAACTAGTATCATAATACTTAGCCCAGCAGATCTGCCTTCCTGTTTGTCAATTAGGACTGTTGTATTTACAGCTTCTAAGCACTAGATTGAAAGATTACATTTCCATACAATTCCAGTCATTTTGAGGTGTCATTCAGTCTTACAATACAGCTATTTCAAGGACATACTATAGTAGTATTTACAGTCATTGGGTCTTTGAATAGCCCACGCAACGCAGGGTTATTAGTGGCAGTGTCATCAACCATGATTTGTTGAGGCATTTCAAAAAGAAAGCTTTGTAACATCAATCCAAAGAACTCTCCAAGCTTCAGATCGCATTAGGAGCTATTTGTGCAGAAATCCAGATAATCAAGAGTTCAACTTTTTTTCCACAACTGTAAGTTTCTTTTTGTTTCAGCTGAACAGTTCAGCAGCAATCTTGATGATTTGTTACATCAGCCCCATAACAGTGTTTCATTGTAAATGCTTGTGGGCGCAGTTTTCTCTACTTTGTGTTTCACTGTTCTCTGTGTTGCAACAGTTTTTCTTTTTTATGGGGGTCTCAGTCCTGTTCAGTGAACTATGCAGTCTCCTGGGTAACAGAAAGCAAGAAAGAGTACGGCAAACGCAATGACTAAACAGGAAGTGGTCATACATACAGATCTCTGGTGGATGAAACAGTGAAACTCTTATCTCCCCGCTCACAATAGAAGCTTTTTTTTTTTACCGCACTGATCACAGCACTAAACACTTTTGTAAACTCTAACTTCCTTTGCAAAATATGGGCGACAATTTGTAGTGCTAAAACTAGTCTGTAGTGCTGAAACTAGTCTGTTATGATATTCATTAATTCAATGTACATCTATGAAGTTTTCAGGTATAAATCTACATGAGCAATAGCACACTGCAAAATTTGAGGACTCATAGTGTGGGACAAGGTTAGGGAGGGATGTTCAAGCATCAGCAAAAAATACATAACAGTGTTTGTTTGGAGATACATTTAGGTATTATATGGAAAAGTTTTAGATGCATTTAGGGGAAACTGTGAACCAGTTATTGGAAACAGAGGATTCTTGCTTTCTTAAGGTGTTTGAAGTCAAACTTAAGCTTGAACATAGGATGCATGTGTGTAAATTTAAGGTTGGCCTAAAGTTAGGTTCTGTCAGGACAGTATCAATGCCACCCCTCCCACAGAAACAGAAGCCATACAGCCACAACCAGCCTATCTGTCTTTTTTCTCACAGCAGCAGCCATAACAGCTTCCATCACTACAATGACAGCACCAACCACACCTACCTCTTTAGAGAAATACCACCCAAGCAACAGAAATAGTTTCTATATACAGTATGCACATATTGATATAGAAACAAATTAAGAGTTCAGATGCAAAAGCCTCTAAAATGAGCATTTTTATCAAGCTCCTATGCTTAGGTTCAGTAATTTTACTTTAATGGCAATGTATAGGTCTTTTGGTATAGGTCTCTATGCCATTAAAGTGAAATGACTGAACATAAATATAGGAGCTTGATAAAAATGCTCATTTTAGATGAAAATTTCAGACGGCACTTAGAGGCTTTTGCATCTGAACTCTTCATATAGATGCTGATAATAGGACTTTAGAGTCTCATAATCAAAGAGGTTCCAAAATTGTTACTCAAGGCCTCCAAAACTCATGCTGCGTTTGCGTATGACAACCACGGGTGGCGCTGCATCAATGCAGGCTATAGTTAAGCACCACTAGATGGAAGCAGTTACTTGTAGAATATATAGTCTGTGGGTTTTTAAAACATTGAGAAATATAAGAAATAAGGAATTGACAGAAAGAAAGAATTGGAACCTGAATGAAAACATCTCATGACGTCAGATTCACAAAATGTGACAGACCCTCTTGTGCAAAACATCCAGTACGTTTTCATTTTTTAATTTTTTTTATTATGCAATAGAAGAACAACAAATAATTACAAAGACAAGTAAGACAGTGAGAAGGATCTAAATTCAAAGAGTAACCAGTTTTTGGGGTTATACAAAAGTTTGGATATAAATATTTTTTAATAAAATTGGAAAAGTCAACCCAGAACACTTTAGAATAAGCACAGTCCCAAAACAAATGATTGATTGTTTCTTCAGACTGAAGGCAAAATGAGCAATTGGGGGAAATACTATTGTTAAATTGAGCAAGTTTGTAATTTACCGGATAACAATTATGGATAATTTTGATAGAGACTTCAACAACTTTATTAGATAAGAAGAATTTTTGTCGAAGAAGCCAAAACTCTTCCCATTCTATATCACTAAATATGTTATTCCAAAAACTCACACAAGCAGGTAAAGAAATCTGAGATCTATTAATAATTGAACGCATGTCTTTGTTTAACATGGTATTGAGAAGACTTTGGTCAACAAATAAGTTAGTGTTATCAAAAAGAGGAGAGTCCAGTACGTTTTCATGTGCTTTCATTTGCTTTAGGAAATGACGCAGTTGCTGTGAGTGCTGAGGGGACTGGATAGAGAAGAGGGCACTAAAGCGCATCCCTCCACCCCATTCTACCCTGAGATACGTTGCCTAGGTTACACCTCTAGCTGCCACCTGAAGCGAAGCATCGCACCATCCGCCTCGCGAAAGACAATACCTCACACGTCAACACCTATTGAAAACCACACAAAAGGGATCTCACGAAACATAAATATACTCGGAAGAGAGAGACAGAGCATATTAAGACACGAGCACGCTCACGCACGCACTCAGACCCTCCTCATTGTGATTGTCAGTACAGAGAGGCAGGCTCTTATGGAGGGCCGCTGCTCGGCTCTGCAGCGACTGCAGCGCTTCCCGCTGCCTGCTCTTCCTCCGCGCGCGTCTCCGAGAGCGCTGTGATGTGAATATTAATGATGCTGCGCGAATCTCCGCGCTCATTTCCACCGCTTTCACCCATCTGAGAGGTAAGAGCGCATCCGTATTTCGCCGTATACGGTGCGGTTTGCATTATTATTCAGTGTCCATTTGATGCTGTGGAAGCGCGCGTCATGTCTTTTGGGGATGCTGAAGTATTGTTCTCAATGAAGAGGCGAAGCAAGTCAATGCGAGGTCTTTCAGTATGGTGCCTGTACACATATTTATACTGGCTGTTTCGTTCTTTAAAACTACCTCAACGTTGGGATGTGTCATTCAAGCTATCACAAGTAAACATTTGGTGGTCTTTGGTTGGTGAACACAATAACTGGTGGTACATCGAAATAAATGGTCTTTATGTTTATGGGGACAAAAAAAAAAACAGATGTACTTTTTCAGTATGTTTATAGCTAAGGAGAATCATTTTACAGAACCC